CGCGCCTGTCAGGGGCACCTCAGGCTCCCGTGCCCCCCCCCCCCCCGGATCCGCCAGTGATGCCTCACCACGCGAAACACCGCCAACTCCCAGCTACCGCGCCATAAACACGTGCCAACAACAGTCTTTTTTGAAGGTCGACTCCACCCGCGCAACTTTTGACTGACCCCCACTGCTACCATATTGCTTCCATATTATGCTGTGGAAAGCTTTACTTCACCAAGTGTGCTAAAAACCTCCATCAAGGTATATTTTCTTAGCAATTTTTCTGACGTTTTGGGGGGGGGCCAAACAGGCCACTTTAGGCCTTTGGGGGGGGCCATGGCCCCCGTGGCCCCCCCCCCTGGATCCGCCAGTGAGTGCGGCAAATGTTGCGCACAATGCAGCATATAGCACCACGTGTTACCAAACGTTCTGGAAGAAGATTTAAAAATCGTTAGATCTGCCTGACGTCACGAATTCTAAGGGGGCATTCAAATGCATTAGCCCCTTAGAATCTGAAAACTGCAAGATTCAAACTAAATATCTCCGAATTAAAGCCATTCTCGATGTTGTGAGTGCCCAGACCGGTAAGGCGGAAAGTGCAGGCCAGGGACCTCAATTTGGCTATCCCAACTCAAAACTAAAAGGTGAGATGGCCACTTTAAATGGCCGATTACAGTACCACAACGAATTGGCTCATCCAACGGTACGTCCGAATGTCAGCCTCCAACGGTATGTCCAGGGGTATGTCTTCCGGCCAACCAGAATTGACATGAACAGATTGTCGGTCAATTTAGTAACTAGTCCATCATATTTTATGCATGCTTTGTCATATACCTACAACAAGGTTTGTCAGAAGTTAGTGGCTGGTTAGTGGCTTGTGAAGTCACGCTTAGCATTACCTGTTGGTATTTAGGTACACCAGTCATCCAGCACAACGGTTATCATGACAAAAAAAAAAATATGCCTAAGCTCGGCAAGCCCTAGGGGCTGCGAAATTCAGGGTAAAAGTTCAAGGTCATTCAGGGTGGACCCGTTTAAATTACCTCAAAATTTGCACACAGATAAGTAACTACAAGCTGATATGTAAGCAATACGCATGGTGAGCAGCCATACAATCGTCCGGCAAGCATTGGCCTGTGTAAGAGCAGGTCAAAAGTTACAGGTGGTCACGTGACCCTTTCACGGTTGCATGCAGGCTCTCTCTCTCTCTCTCTCTCTCTCTCTCTCTCTCTCTCTCTCTCTCTCTCTCTCTCTCTCTCTCTCTCTCTCTCTCTCTCTCTCTCTCTTTCTCTTTCTTTTTTCCCTCTCTCTCTCTCTCTCTCTCTCTCTCTCTCTCTCTCTCTCTCTCTCTCTCTCTCTCTCTCTCTCTCTCTCCATGCTGAACAAGCCAATTACTCGTCTCTGTTTCACCTAATGCATAAACGGGCAGGACACGGCTCCCAATGGATTAGTCTTCCCCAGCTTTCAGGGCAGGGGAAATAGGTAACTGGTGGGAAAACCCGGGCAGATGTGAGCTTTTGACTTGAGATGGCTCTTATCCATCGCCATACCACGTGCGGAGATGATACAGAGTCATGTTCAGTGTCAGTGTCGGTGTTATATAAACATAGCGATGGTCATTTGCGGTAATCACCAAATCTGAAAAAATTCCAGCCACTTGTTTTTAGGGCCTTGCCCCTGCCAATGTCTTGTTTGATGTGATACGGCGACACGTATTTTCAATATGCATGCATCGCATACCTACACGAACACACGAACCCACATCTACGTGCACGCCGCACGCATGCACAGCATGGTGCGTCAATATGTAGAATAAATATGCACACCACACACCAGTTCCACGCAGTTTTGATAATGGGAAACTTCATAAGTTACACTCTTTGGCGTAACTAGTAACTAGTTATAGCCAAAGGGCGACCAATTCGTAACTTCATCTTCGATGACACTGGTTAGTGGTTAACCTGAATGCTAATTAATCGGATAAATACAGATGTCTCTCTACGGCATCAGTACGGTAGGTATGCTTTTCTGCGGCATGGAGATGAAGTTGGGTTTCAAAGGTAAAACTCGCCATTAACTCAATAGGCCTTCAGTGGGTGAGCATTGAGCAATGGGCAGCGCATCAATCTAACAGCCTTTTGTCTTCGAGAAATATGATTTGTCGACAATGCAGAACCACTGCATAATGTCAACAGAATATACATGTTTTAACCCGCGCCCCGTAGGGCTATCGGCGGACCCCACTGCACCCGTAGGGGAAGGGGCCGTTTAGCCCCCCCCCTAAGATTTTGGAACTTTACCGGCCGATTTTCACAATTCAAACGGCATTTACCCCCGCCCCGCTGGGGGCAGAATCTGCCCCCTCCCGTTTTTCGCCAATAGCTTCTAAACGCGTTACGCCAGCGACGTCAAACTTTCAGTACCTTATCATATATCAATTTGACACGTTCCCTGAAAATTTGAGCGAAATCCGTCGGAAAATTTTGAGAAATTGACGTTTTAGTGACGTCATGTTCGCCATTTTCGCCTTGAAAACGGCAAAATTTCAAACGCCGCTAACATCTTCATTTTTAAAGGAATCAAGACGTAACAAAAAAAGGTTATACGTGATTATACTTTGTCTCAAATGGCTATCTCGTTTTTTTGGAAATTTTGGATTTTTGGCCAACTTTAGAAAACCCGACTTTTTTGGGAAAATAATTATGAAATCCAAAATTGTGAGTGTATCGAAAAAACCGGAATATATGTCAGTGAAGTGGTCTATGTGCACCTACATACTAATTTTTAGAAGAATCGGTTCAAAAATGTGGGAGTTATTCAAAATTTTATGACGTCACGACGTACAAATTTTTTGAAAAAAATGATTTTTTTTGGAAGGTCTAAACCTCGTACGGAAACAAAAATAGCACCATTCGATTCGCCGTGAAAAACTGCATCAGATAGACACCTTTTTAGGCCTTAACAACCAACTTCAAAATTTGACCTCACTTGACCTGACCTTGACCTGACCTTGACCTGACCTCGACCTGAAATTCATCCAGAGGTGGTCCATATCACTTATTGAGTGTGCCTATTGAATTTATGAGTAAAATGACCCATAAAACATATGTCGCACATGCCCTTTTCTATATTTTGTTTTTGGTGACCTGACCTGACCTGACCTTGACCTTGACCTTTGAATGACATTGTATGCAAGGAATATTGTCTTGGTAGTCTAAGAACATGTTTTGGGCAATCAGTCTCAGTCCATTCTTCGGCAACTACGGTGCAAGGCCGATACTGTAGAAACTTGCATTTTGTACCCTTGACCTGACCTTGACCTGACCTCTGACCTACTTGAGCAAAAAAATTTGGGCTCTTAAGATCCGCCTTGTTGAGAGCTTTCGATTGCCGTTTTCCCCGTCTTTCTACGACCATCGGTTCGGAAGTTAGACAGGGGGGGGGGGCAGAATCTGCCCCCCCCCCCCAGCAGGGCGCGTATGGCTGAATAGCCCAGCGGGGCGCGGGTTAATAGCCCCACCGGGGCTATTAAACCTTGTATTACCTTGCGACCAAATTTCATTGACCTCGGTCCAACCGATGATGTCACAGGTCAGGTCAAAGGTCGGATTTTCACCGTTCACAAGCATTTCAAGAAATGTGTTGTGAAGTCGAGTAAATTGGTAAGTTATTGAAAATCATCGATGGTAGATTGTTCGTCAAACACATACATTGCTATCTGAGGTCACTGATGCCAGGTCAGGTCATAGAGGTCAGGTCACTGAGGGTCACAATATGAAAGCGTCGTGTGCTACATGTTTTATGGGCCATTTTACATGACAAATGCGATTATGTGGGTCAGGCAGCCTTTGGGGCCAGTTAAGGTTAATTTCTGGCGAAGGTCAGGTCAAGGTCAGGTCAAATTAGGTCAAATTTCAAAATTGATATTTTTGTATAAAACGGGTATAGATTTGATGCAACTCGTCACGGGGAGTCTAATGATGGTCTTTGTTTTGCGCTACGTGGTCTAGAATTGCCAAAAATTGAGTTTGAAAATTTGACGTCATCATTTTTGAACAGTTTTTTCGCTATAACTTGGCCAAAAAACGAGATATCGATCTGAAATTTGGTATGTAGATAGAAGACGGTAGGTATATTTCCGGTTATTTCGAAATTCAAGAGCTTTTTGGATTTTCTGGCTAATATATCCAAAAAATTACTTTTTCATTTTGAGGAGTCAAAATACCCAAATTTCAAAAATCCGAGATAGTCGTTTTGTAGCCCTGTCAATTCTACACCTTTAATGTATGACATTTTTTTCTGTATCTTCAAAGCTGTAGGCCTGACAGCTCTTCTCGCAAAACCTTTTTTGGGGTCGAAAATTGCAGAACATGACGTCATTCTGACGTCATTTGTGGCCAACCTATCATAGCCTCTGGAACTTGTTCTTTGTACTCAATGTGTAAAATTGATGCCCGGAGGGTTCCTGAAAGTTTAGTGGCGATATCTGCAGCCGTTTAGAAGATATCCACGGAAAAGGACACGGGGGCCGAAACGGCTCCCCTGTCCTTTTCCGTGGATATCTCCTAAACGGCTGTAGATATCGCCAACTTTCAGAACCCCTCCGGGCATCAACTTTACGGGGCGCGGGTTAATCACAATCTTACTTTTCAAATCCGTTAACGCATGCACCTGGTATTTTTCTTGAAGGATGACGTATGTATTTACAAGAAATCTGATCAGAAAGGTCATGACTCACTGACTTATGGTGAAATCAGTTATTCTACCGCGGCGTATCCAGTTCCCGGTAAGTGGCGCAGAATAGTACACAGCGGAGAATCGATCGGCCCGCCCATGTCGTCTGTCGGCGGGGCTGCAGTTCCAGCAGGTAACGATCGGCCGGTTCCGGGGACCGATCGACGCTGTGTACCGTGTCACCCGCCAGTGTCGACCGACGGCCACCGCGTGCGCCCCCGTTGTCGGCCGGCGGCACCTGTCCGATCGATAATGGTGCATTCCGGACCGGCGGACCGCCGCGGCATCCAGTCGGGTGACGGGGCCGGCAGGGGATCGGCGATCAGCGGGAGGGCCAGGACCTGCGGTGAGACGACACCTGGAGACGCGGGCACGTCGGAGGAAGCAACTTCAGCAGTGGCCCTGTTGCTTTATAACTGCAGTGGTTCATCCAGCTACAGGTCGAGGGGTTTCGTCGACCGGACGATCGATTAGCTGAGAAGTCCTCTCTTCCGTCGATAATCATCGACGACAATCAAAGAATTCAGGGGCTTTGATCTGATCCTTGTCATACAAGATAGCTCTCAGTGTTCTTCAAGAGTGAAGCGCTTCCATGGTGCCGTCTCGGTGACGGCGGTGGTGTCGGGTCCTCAGCGGCACGTGGTGTGTAGGTTTTTGCGATCGACGTCTTGAGCAGGAGCTCGGCACAGCTGATATGGGCTGTGGCGGGTCCAAGGCGGTCGCCGCCGTACAGCCGCTCACCGATGAAGTTCTTGAGGTCACAAAGTTCGACCAGCATAAAGGTACGATGTGACGAGCAATGATGAGTTATGCCTTTCCAAAGTATGTGTTAGTGAATTCATAATTCGTCTCTAGGAGGCCCGATTTTACAGTTACTGCGTCGCCAAACTTTGGAAAGCATGCATGCAAAAGCTGTGGAAAGCATGCAAGGCTCACACACACTCCCAGCCTTTAACCCGGCCGGGCCCGGAGATCCCAGCCACAGCAGCCCGGGGGGGGACGTTTTTCGCCTCCCCCTGTCAACTCCGTAAATAAGGCAGCTACGTAAACAAAAGCGGTGCCAAATGAAAGGTCTCTACGAGGTGATTCTACAGCACCTAACATTTTTGACCTCAGGTCGACGTTCAAGGTCAGAGGTCGAGGTCAAAGGCAAAAACCGGCAAATGTGTAGTGATCTCAAAGTGAGCGTTCTAGAGGACGGCAGGATGCATACAACCCACTAAAAATGGGTATTAAACGAAAGAAGAGAAATGGAGGATTCCGAAAAATATGCTACAAATCAAAGTTCAAGGTCAAGGTCGTGCTTGAAATTGACCTCAAACTTTTCAATTTTTCGAACATCTTGTGTACTAAATTTCAAGATGTTTTGAAAAGTTTTGAGGCTTACAAGGTCCCTATCTGTGGTTCATCTTGCGGGACAAGGCTGCTCCAAAGTCATGGTCACGAAAGAGTATCCTTGATAGAAGGCTATTTCACTGATTCAAGCTAGTAATAATAATTAAGATAATTTTGCCATCCGGAGGCTCTAAATTAACGCTTAGAGGAAAATGGATGCCAGATTCGTGATCAGTGGCTACGAATCCATTATAATAGACCTTTTATGTGTCAAGGTCAACCAAAGGTCATTCGAGGTCACATGAGGTCAACAAAACCTTTTCCAAACAAAACATCTATCATTCGACGCGGCTTGTCAAGGCGAATGCGTTGTTACCACGGGCGTTGCTCTAAAAGCATTTTGTTGAAGTTATTTGCGAAAAACCCAAATCCCAGGCTCGGAGTCATTAACCTGACCTCTGACCTCAGGTCGCCAAAACTATTTTTCTATTTTTTGCTAGGTCAAACGCTACACAACCGTGCTCGTAATTCGTCTTTATCTCTAAAACGCTAATTTTAGCAGCTATTTGAGGTTCACGTCAATTGATTGATAGGAAATTGATTGACCGTAGTTACCCCATTCGCCGCCAGAGGTGAATGGAGTACATATAATAGGATAAAAGGCTCTGAAAGTTTCGTTTTCCTATTCCACCAGTATAGCGCCTTTTGGGGCGACTAACGGAGCGAGCGAGAGGGTGAGCCTTGCACGTGCGAAATGTCGAGGGGGTACCTCCAACTGACTTGTGCACTGCACCCTACTAACCGGTCTCTAGCGATGTGCCAAATTTGAGCACAATCGGCCCAGCCGTTCTCGAGATCTGGAAGCGGCACCCTGCACGTGCGCACGTGCAGAATGGGTCCCAACTGACTTGTGCACGGCACCCTACTAACTGGTCCCTAACCGTGTACCAAATTTGAGCGCCACCGGTCCAGCCGTTCTCGAGATCTGGAAACGACCCCTGCACGTGAGCACGTGCAGCAGCACCCCAACTCTGGCACATGTATATGCAGTGCCTAGTGGGTGCCTACCTACATGCCAACTTTCAGCGCAATCGGCCAAGTAGTTACCGAGATATTGCAACAATTACAAAAGTGACACCTCTTCGTTTTGCACGTGGCACGTGCATAAGGGGTCACCCACATGCATCGGGAATAGTCCAATACTTGGTAGAAGGAATGAAGCTACTCTACAAAAATTACCGCGTGTAAATCGGTCAAGTGGTTGCTGAGATATAAGCCTCGCAAAAGCGTCCGCACGGCCGGCCGCTCATACTCAGAAATTTCCGTTAATCTAAGGAAAGACTACGCTCGCTTCGCTCGCTCCGTAATAAGCGTTCGGGAGCTACCACCAATATTCTCCGGGGGGGGGGGGGGGATTAAACGTCCGCGAGGATTAAAGCGGAGGTCCGTCATTTTTCATGATCTAAGGCAACTGCCAACTTCATTGGACATAGATAACCTACCTAGTACTTACCTGGTTGGCTGATTTCCCTAGGAGCATGATGAACTAAGTTGACAGACATCCAAAGCACCGGGTAGGTGTTATTTGATTTTTAGAAATAAAAACCACCAATGAATTCAGTGAACATACATTCACTATAGGAATAGATAACATAAAAAGTCGGCGTTAAAGTTTGGTGTTAGAGGTACAAATACATATGATATACGATGTATGATACGTTCAACTGTTCATGAAGCTTTAAAAAATGGCATCACTTCAATGATTTTCCGACATTGCCTGATACTGATAATTCCCAGCCGAGTGATTAAGAATCGACCATCCAACTAATTTGACAACACGAACGTTTCCAGTCAAAGGTAACAATGACACATAATTTGATAGTGATGTTTCCCCGTTACAACCGCGCAATCTATAGTGAACATTCGGAATGACGCACCACTCTGGCTCGTGACAAACTGTCAGCCGCATGTAAATTAAACTCAAACGGTAATGGCTTGACCTGCACGCGACATCCTTCTGTTCGATGCAGTCAACATTGCACCTACTTACGAGTACACCATGAGGATGGTTATAATTGATGTGTCCCCAAAAGTTACACGTAGTCTAGGCTAGGGTGACAGGTAGGATAAGGGTGACAGGTAGGACGGGTATATAATGCATTAACCCTCGCCGGCCGAGGGGGGGGGGGCGGGTGCCGCCCCCCCCCATAGGGTTTTTTCGCGATAGCTCCGAACACGCTGGCGATAGAGAGCTGAAACTTGGCATACCTGACCTTTGATCCAAGCCGCATCTTTTGACACCAACCGCATTTTTGGGTCAGGTCAGGTCACTGACCTATGACGTCATAAGTGAACCTCTGCACGGTCTTCAGATGTCGCAACTTCGCAACGCCCTCACTGCCAGAGGAGATGTCACAGGGAAATGAAACTTGCAGGATCTAGTATCCATTATGAGTCTCACAACTTGTATATCTCGGATTTTTCCTAAAGGTCATATGAGGTCAGGTCATTTTCGTGACCTCACCATTATAAGTCAATGGGGAAAAATTCAAACTGCTATTCTGGCGCCGGGAACGATCTCCAACTATCTCAAGCACACAGAATCGTGATTTGATGCACTCCTTGCAAGGTTAGATGCGTCACTTTTGCAATGTTGACCTTCCGTGACGTCATTTATGACGTCATCAAGGTCATATTAGTTTTTCGTCAATAACTCCCGATCAAATTGAGCTAGCGAGTCGGGAAAGCCACCAATGGACTCAGGAAGACCTGCCGAATCGAATGATATGCGACATGACCTCTTTCGACCAACTTCGTGACCTGGGGGTGCTGACCTGACCTTGACCTGAGGTCAACACCCTAAGTTGACCTGACCCGAACAAAAAGTATATCATTCGACGCGCCTGAGCAAGGCGAACACGATGCTGCCAAAATCGCGGCTCTGCGGCCGTTTTTTGCGAAGTTATTCACCAAAAACTGAACCGTACTCTGGGGCACTTGACCTGACCTCAGAGGTCACCGGTTGACCTAGGACCTTAAAATCGGGTACCAATCTCTGCGTCTCGTAACGGCGCACACGCTCGTTTTTTCCGCGACGCGCTAGCTCCACCAGGGGCGAAGCGGCGAGGGGGGTCGTACCCGCCCCGCCCCCCCCTCGGCCGGCGCGTATGTAGAAAACCATTAGGTCCGGCGAGGGTTAAGATGAGATACAATTACAGAATAAGCTACGCATACTCGTACCTATAGATAGGCAGTTGCATGTAACAGCGTTGTTGACCTTTTTCCATCTGACGGAGCGATTGAAAGTGATTGTACCTGACGGAGCGACTGAGAGCGATTTCCCTGACGGAGTGTCCTCACCCTTCTGTTGCAGAAAACGGTCACACGCCGGGGGAGAATGGCACCGTGGAGAACGGGTTTGCGGACGGCTCGGGCCGCGTGCCGGCCAGCGGCCAGTCGGCCGACCAGCCGGACTCCTCGAGCACGGTGGTGAAGCCGGAGAGCCCGGCCGTGCCGCTGGTCCAGGCGCCGGCCGAACTGCAGCCCGTCAAACTGCAGGGTGAGGGGGCAGATAACGTTAGATCGTCCAAGGGCTTCCTCACGCTTCAAGCGGTTCCGTATCTGCATCTTGTTCTGATTAAGGAAGTTATTGGCGAAAGACTGTCTTCCTGATCTGTTATGAGGTCACATAATGTCACTATAAGTAGGGTAAGGTGCCTAATTAGCGACCCTTTCCGATTTGCGACCTACCTCCCTACAGAAAAAACTGGCAGAAGAAAACGGGGTAAAAACATCGTCAAAAGGTCAGCCATACTTTGGTTATCAAATTAAATTATTTTCCGGTCGTCGATGTTTCTGGTGGGACGTTTCAGGCGAGTTTAAATAAAAATGATGAGTTTCTTATCCAAAACGTGTGTGTTTGGGCCCTCTCTGATGAAAAGCGATGCACATTAGGATGATGCACCTTTTTATTCTGAATGGACATTCCTTTTTCAATTGATTGCCGTTTTTCCATAGTGAATCGCTTAACTGTGCACAGCATGGCGGTTAAAAATGTGTCGCAAGTCGCAACTCATATAACTATTCTATTTGCGTCGGTTTGCGGGTTTTTTGAAGTGCTCAGTTTTTTTACTTTTGCAAATACCAAGCAAGTACCAAGTACTTATGCAAATACCAAGCAAGTACCAAGTACTTTGGCAAGTACCAAGTACTTTTGCAAGTACCAAGCAAGTACCAAGTACTTTTGCAAGTTCAGCAAGTTTTTCGCGAATATCGAAGCTTTTAGACGTCCGATCATCACGGGACGAACACCAATCGTTCCCAAATTTTCTCCTTAATTATTTTATGGCCAACGCGACGCGTAGCGAGCCAAGATATCTTGTATTTCCTATTTGTGCCTGACATGGTCGCAAATAGCTCAAGAAGGGAAAGAAAGGGGAAAAGAGAGAAATGAAAATGAGGTGTTGCTGAAGCTTGCAATGTGCGGCAGGGGATGCCAAATGTCGTCACCGACTGCAAGGGTGCCGAATTTAGCGCGGACCTCGAATATCATACGAGATAGCCCGCAAAATTTACACGGGTTTCCGCCTTCTTTCCGCCTTCGGTGCATAACGTGATCAGTTTTTACATTCGTAAATGTGTTGGATAAATGTTCTTGTTCAAGTGATTGAGTGCTTTGCGTATAGGTTACCTTTTTGAGATCATATTTCATCTTTTCAGGCGTCGCATTTTTTGCCATTTTTAATATGGGGAAACCCATAGACTTATTAGCGACCCTCCCCGGTCGCTAATCGGGAAGAGTTCCCTATTAGCGTTTTTTGCAATGGTTTGCCAAAATGCTCACTACAAATAAGTTAGTGAACATTGGGGCAGAAAATGACTATATTTTAATAGAAAAATGAACGATCATTCCGAAAATCAAGCCAGTAATACAGTGGCACCCTTAGAGCGTGAGCAATGACTGTTCAAATGAAGGTGGTCGCTAATTAGGCACCTTACCCTACGACCATATCTGCATGTCATTTACCGCCTTTTTAAAATCCCGATCTAAACAAAAATGTAAAAGAATATCTAACAGTTTTCATTTAACGCTGCATTTTGCATCAAGTAGCCCCCACCGATAGCAAATAAACCTTACCGTGTTGAAATCTCTTTAAAAACAAATTTGACCGTGTTCGATATTTTCTGCAGCCAATGGTTCGTCAGCAGTGGCATTTGAAATACCGTTGGAGCCGGGCGAGAGTCTCATACAGCGACACCCACCGAAGCGGTTCACGCGGCTGGAGGACAATCAGCTGACGCTGGAGACCTTCCAAGGAAAACACGCCGGCGCCGCCGAACGACGAAACCAGGTTGGGAAGTCCATAAATGGTGCACGCTTCGGTAGACCCGAATTATTTCTGAGTCAGCGTGTTTATTGTACTAGTGTGTTAGCATTTTTAAGCTGGGCTTGGGTGTTTTCGCTCTAAGATGTTTACATGAGAGGCGGCACTTACCACTCACAATGGAAAAACCGGCATATGTAGAAATCTTTCATGGCTGGTTGCGGTAAACTTTACCATAATAACCTTGCGCACGAAATACTAGAGGAAGTTTTTATTCCAGCTAGCATATGCTGCTTATCCTGCATTTGTATAAAGACTCGATTCCGATTTATCCTTGTATGGGCGTCAGGCGACGCAATCTGGTTGTGGTCGATCGGATCTCTTGTGTCCAGATTCATTACATTACATATACGTTGTATAATGTACACTGTACAGAGTAATACAGTGCGCAGGGCGTCCTGAGTGGACAGAAGCCCCAGCAGACAGCAAGTCACACATTTAGGCAATCATTTGGACTCAATTGCAGAGTCTGATTATCATATAGTTGAGCGAATCATCGAACAAAAAAAACATGCTGTTTACAGCACGCTATCCAAAGCAGTAACATGAATGCAATTTTAAGAGGCAACAATAACATTGCAACTGCCGTTTGGCTCACATATCCAGAGCCTTTAAAATGCTCACAAAAATGGGTGGATCGTGCCTCTTGACAAAATTTCATGAGTCAGCCTCATCCGATATGAGTAAAAGGCGTACCATACTTAATGAAGTAGTGTGAAACAATTTAAAGTTTGGAAATAGCCGAGTTTGACCGATAATTGACCGATGCCCTTGAACTAGACTGTCTATGATCGGATGGGTCGATCGCAATGGCGCCATCTCATTGGCTGTTGGGTTAGTGACGTAACAAGACCGTCGATATCGCGCGCCAGCACCAGTGTTTTGCCAGGCTGTCCGATGTCGTTCGCCTCCGCGCCCACCGCGTTTTAAGTGCTCGTCGTGTTCACCTGGCCCAATTTGTGCCGCTTCGTCGGCGGCACCGCCATCGCCCCAAACGGCGCTGACAACGAGCGCCCGTCACGCCAGCCACCCGCTGATCTGTCCCGTCCCCTGTGTGCTCGACAGCTGCTCAACAAGCGCGTGCAGAGCGCGCGCGTGCGAAACCTGCGCAGCGCCGGCCGCGCCAAGTCCAGGACCACCATGCGGTCGGATGACGAGCCGGTGAGAGACGATGAGAAGGTAACTGGCGTACCACAGTACTGGGATAGGCGGTACGACGTGGTATGGAATAGGGAGGAATGATGGAAAGAGAAGTGTATTAAATGGAAAAGGATGAAAAGAAGGGGGAGTGATGAATCTGCGTAGTGTAAGTGGAGGGCACTATGGCAACATCGAACACTCATCGCTTTGTGTTTCTTTAGACAAATGTCTTACTTCACCTCTCATTCTTATGAAGTAAGACTTAAACCGAACATCTCTCCTCCATAGTTCCAACTCATCTCACTTTATTCAATTATTCACCAGTATAACGCCTTTTGTGGCGACTAACGGAGCGAGCGAGAGGGTGGGCCTTGCACGTGCGAAATTGCGAGGGGGTACCTCCAGCTGACTTGTGCACGGCACCTTACTAACCGGTCTCTAGCGATGTGCCAAATTTGAGCACAATCGGCCCAGCCGTTCTCGAGATCTGGAAGCGGCACCCTGCACGTGCGCACGTGCAAAATGGGTCCCAACTGACTTGTGCACGGCACCCTACTAACTGGTCCCTAACCGTGTACCAAATTTGAGCGCAATCGGTCCAGCCGTTCTCGAGATCTGGAATCGACCCCTGCACGTGCGCACGTGCAGCAGCACCCCAACTCTGGCACATGGATATGCATTGCCTAGTGGGTGCCTACCTACATGCCAACTTTCAGCGCAATCGGCCCAGTAGTTACCGAGATATTGCAACAATTACAAAAGTGACACCTCTTCGTTTTGCACGTGGCACGTGCATAAGGGGTCACCCACATGCATCGGGAATAGTTCAATACTTGGTAGAAGGAATGAAGCTACCCTACAAAAATTACCGCATGTAAATCGGTCAAGTGGTTGCTGAGATATAAGCTTCGCAAAAGCGTGACCACGGCCGGCCGGCCGGCCGGCCGGCCGCTCATACTCAGAAATTTCCGTTAATCTAAGGAAAGACTACGCTCGCTTCGCTCGCTCCGTAATCATTGCAAATGCTAATATTTTTTTTTTTTTTGCTATCGGGTGAAAAGGTACCTACTTGAAAAGTTTGCAAATCGTAAGGAAACTCTTCACCGCCAATGAACTGCTTACCACCACATGACGCCTGTGGTTGGTTGGACTATTTCAGATCGAGGGCGGTGTGGAAGACCGCGAACAGAGCTCCGAAATGGTGGCATAAATCGCCCTCCACACAGACAATTGTATGGAGGGCTGCTCCACACCAAACGGAGGGCTGCTGTCCACTCCGTCGCTGAAAGCCATCAGGCGCGCTCTAATAGCGAAGAAATACTCCGTACAGCATACGTACTGCTCCCGCACAAGCGATGAACTCATCCGTCCCTATGGCCAGACTGGGCCGCATCACTCCAGTGGCGTCGCTCGGGGTCGCGTGCAGTGCTGAACTGCTACTGAACTGACATCGAGACTGAGCAGCTTGCGTGACCTCCACCGCTCCCCTGTCCAATGTAGTAATACTGGACACGGGACATCTGGACAAATCACACGGGATGTGAGAATTTCGTGATTACAAGAAGTGAACGATAACGAACTTGCTGATCCTGGAAGCGGAACGGCAACTGAGGTACTGTGTGTACGGACATCGATGTGAAGATAATCTGCAGCAGCACAATCGGTATCCGCTGTTTGGTGGGACGACTGTTTGTTAGTAAGAATGTGGTTCCTTCCGTGGTTTATGCAGGGTTCATGTCTGTGGAGGTTTTGGGCACTGCTGCAAGGTGTGAGAAACACGGTGAAGCTATCAACATGATCGTTAATGGCGAGATTTGTATTATATTTTTTCTTTCCTCCCATGTCTTGCAATTTTGCGTAGCTGTTACAATCACTAACTAATGCAATATGCATCGATGCGCCTTTAAGCTTCCCCGGTATCGTCGCGAATAGTTTCAAAACGGTGCATAGCGATAGCCAGAACATCAACAAGTTTAGCTGAAGAAGAGGGAGGAGCGCAGGCCTAAAACAATTAAACGCCAAACGGCGATGACACGTAGTAAACAAGGGCATTCTGCAAGAGCCGGCTACACCAACTGAATTTTTGCAATTGATCACGTGTATACTAACATTGCACTCAGGATGCAGGTCATTGTTCATCGAATGTATATTTTCCAATACACTGGTTGGTCCATGATTGTCGACAATGACAGACATCATAGATGTTGGAAGACGCGCGTAATGTCGACCTTCGTAAATGTTTGTTGAATTTCATCATGAACATCTCAGATATCAACCATTTCCACACAAATACTGAAACGCATTCTATTTCAGTCGTCTGAAATCAGAAGCGGGCGCCATTGGACGGCTGATCTGGTGATTGACGTGGCCGGCCAGTGTATATCCTCTATCGGACGCCCGTTGTATACACAGCTGGGAGGCCTGTGCCCGTCCAGCGTTCCCCGGAGGTCACGGAACCAGCCGGTCGGTGGCGCAACAGTTCCGCATTCGGCGCCGGTCGGAGCGCACGTGTCGTCTGTGCGTGGTGGTGGAGGCGTCTAAAGGGACATCAGGGCTCTGCCTTCCACCTGTGTGATACTTGACTTCTTCGACTCCGAGGACTGCATATTCAAACGCTGGTTCAGAACTTCAAACATGCGGAGGTTGTTAGTGATCTACTTGGCGGCTTTCCTTGACTGTAGTCGAGCGCGGCCATCGTCAGATTTTGTTTCCTGGCGAGCTTCCTACTTCAATAAATCTGCCTGGCGGGGTTCAGGTGTCCCCGGTGAAGTTCCACATTCATCTGGAGTCGCAATCAAGGTTACGAGGAATGACCTTGGATGAGATACAACCACCAGAAAGTGATGAAGACCCGGAAGGACACTCAAGTAGCGAAACAAGCGCACTGGTGTTTAGTCCATCTTCTGACGAAGCATCCGACCATTCAGAAGAAGAACAAGACGACCGTTTTCGACCAGAGACCCACAGTTCTAGCCTTGACCTAGTGGAAACATCTCTACCTGATCATGGTGATTGGTCTTCAGTTCACCCGACTGAGCAGCATGAAGAGACACTCCACAACGTGCCCGATGCTGACAGAACTGTTGAACCAGGCCTTCCGCGTGTTGTCCCATCGGATCGCCATAGGCATTCAGACAGTCGCCTGCCCACTCACCCAGCGAGCCTTGCAGCGGGAGTGGCTGTCCGGACGGGGGCGGGCCGGGCTCTCACCGCCGGCAGTGTCATCTTCCCGGACTCGTTCGGCGCGGACACCAGAGCGGTGCAGCCGCTGCCCTCCTGTGACGGGAGGACGGTGTCTGCCACCGACCCCGTGACCGGTCGGTGTCGGATGCTGGCGCTGGCCGGGGACTGCCCCGACGGACACCTGTTCCTGCTCTCGCCGGAGGGCACAGACGCCGGCTGTCGGCCGCTGCCCTGTCCCGAGGACCAGCTGATGGTCGGAGACGAGTGTCTGTCCGCGGAGGACCCCACCGCCTGTCCGCCCGGCAGGGTTCTTGTGCGGGACGAGCGCGGCCGGGGTCGGTGCGACTGTGGCGCGGGCCGGGTGCTCTGGCCGGCGGACGGCCGCTGCTACCCGGCGCTCAGCCAGGGGCCGTGCCCGGTGGGCCAGTACCTGACGGCGCCGCTGGACGAGTCCCGGCCGCGCTGCGCCGACAACCCGTGCGTGCTGGACGGCAGCTGGCTGCTGCTGCAGCCGCCGGCCGTCGGCTGCTTCCAGCTGCTCAGTCCCGCGGACGGCTGCGAGTCGCAGCAGATGCTGACGCTCCGCGACGGACAGCTGGTCTGCGACCCGGGCTCGCTCACACTGCGGAGCATCTTCGACCTGCCCAGTGTCCGGTGCGGCGAAAACGAACTGATGGATTACGGCGGCCGGTGCAGGGACCCGCTCAGGCACGGGTTCAGACAATAGTGGCGTCCGCATATCGGATTGCGGTGCGAACCACATGCAGTACCTGCTTCGTGGAGTGCGGTGATGTGTTTGCGGTGCAGGGATCAGATGAGAATCGATACACTGCATGATGGTATGAACTGTAAAATGTACGCTGATCTGTACATAATCCTCTGCCACGCAAGCTGACATGAATTTAGATATCTGTTTTGCCTCTCCGTCTCTAGCCGGCAACATTCTCAATGCCTGGGAAGTCCAACGTAGAAGGCATGCCGGGGAAGTATCGCCACAGCTCATCTGATAAAAATAACTCATCACTTTGCTGTCAGCTGTGCAATCAGTCGAAGAGCCTGCCTACAGTCCGCACACCTCACTAGGATTAGCCACACAGGCTTAAAAATACACGCGAGCTGTAGGCATAATGTATATGACCGAGACTGGGGAAAATCCTGTGGCTAAGAAAGCATCTTTATTCTTTTCGTTTATTATTTTCCACCAAGTGGAGGCGTTAAATATGGTCTGATCAGATTACACGACCCGCTCGGCGCTGATGATGAAGTGAATTTAATTTCATTCATTTTCTCGGCTCAGCTCAGCGCCTTCATCATCTCTAATATCTTCGTATAATAGGGCTGCAGCTCGGTGTAGATGCCGGGCTTCCCGACGGCGCCGCAGACGTCACTGCCGGTGGCCACGATGCCCACCACCTGCCACGAGCCGTCTGCTGCCGGGCACACCAGGCCGCCGCCCGAGTCGCCGCTGCACGAGTCCACGCCGCCGGCCACGAACCCGGCGCACACCATCTTCTCGGGCACGAACTGCGGCCCGTACACCTCCAGCGCGCTGCAGTAGTCGTCCGAGACGATGGGCACCTGGGCGCCGCGCAGCCGGGACGGCGTGGTCCGTGTGCCTGGCACCGTGATGCCCCAGCCGGAGATGACACAGGGGGTGCCGGACGCCGGCGGCCGGTCCTCGGGCCGGATCAGACACGCCGGACGCACCTGAGGGAGGGGTGGGGTGTCAATGACCGACGTCAGTGCGTGCATTTGATGGCTCTAAGGTGAAAGCTAAGGGTCGGTGGTCGACCAGGCAGGGATGGGATAGAGTTCTAACGGTAACGTCGGCGGAAGCCGGTAAAGCTAAAAGTCGGTAAATATAAATTTAGGTACCTATGAATAGCTTGGTGAGACAGCATACTTAAAATCTTTGGGGCCGTGCTTACTGCTCAGCAAAGGAAAAGCCTCATTGAAATTTTATGAGACACCAATCTGTCTGGTCCACGTGAACTGGTAATTAGCTATCGAATATGTGGCTACGGCTTACATCCATGTGGACAACAGTTCACCCGTTGTTATCACAACTGATTTGATGAATCGCACGTTCGCGAACCCGCAGACCCATCGTTTTCCGTCGGCGACGCCCTCGGCTGTCTGACCTCTGCGGAGAAGGAGATGGCAGGCCGATTGGAGAGGTCCAGCAGCACCACGGCCAGGTCGCCGACCTTGGTGCCGTTCGACAGGTAGTCCGGCACGTTCAGCTTCTCCCTCACGCCGAACACCCGCTCGGTGTTCTCCTTTACGCGCAGGTCGTACTCTCCGACCACCACCTGACGAAAAACAGAATAATGTGACAACGTCCTAACCTAAGAAATAATCCATTCCATGCATAAAACGTTGTCACAAACTGCTGACATAAATACGATGCAATAAAGTGTCTTAGCCTCGCGTTATCGTGACATCCAAGCTAATGACCTTTATATAAGAAGACACTTGTAAAACGATTCAGTCCGCAGATGGCCGTCTAGGGCAAATTCATCCACTATAAGACAAAAATAATGATAATGAAGCATTATCCATGCTAATATGTGAGCAGTGGGCACTGGGCACCCATGCTAACCAGAGACCAGGGCCTCGTTTCATAAAGCAAGTCCGTAACTTACGTCGGTTTTTGGTCTTGTATTGCAAGTGCATTTGAAGCGATTAAGTTATTTCCCCCTCGCCTTTCTGTTCTTGCTTAAAATATAAAAAAAAAAATTCAACAATTCAAACTATCGTCATCGCTTCACATGCACTTGCAATTCAAGACCAAAAACCGACGTAAGTTACGGACTTGCTTTATGAAACGAGGCCCAGGGTACATACTGCGATCAGTTTCCACCACACTGAAAACAATTTTACCCGAAGCTGGCGAATTAAGTGTTGCTCTGCGGGTGGTATATGTGTATTAACTCGCCATGTCCAGATTCTAGCTAGAGGGTAAGCAGACTTGCCTGCCTTATTACCCGTAAATATGCACCGTACCCACAGTCTGCAGTAAAGGAGCTACTCAGCACCGGATATTGTCCCCGCGGGTGTCGAGTCATTGGCATAGCCCTCACTGAAAGAGTTGGAACTACTCGAGATATCGTAAACGCGTATCCGTGGATGGCGAACCTTTACATAACCTGCCCTGAAGGAGTTGGATCTACTGGCACAACTAGGTGGCGTTGTCTCATACAGTTTTGAATTACAACAATTTTTTAACTTTTTTTTTTGCACCAATGATATATTGGACATTGTTTGGCGGTTTCAAGTGGGGGCGAAAGTACAATTGTTAGGGTGCATCTTTAAAACCTCTGCAATATTCATCACGGGGCGATTGGCAACACCTTTTCTTCCGAAACTACCAAGTGAGACCATTTTGATTCTTATATAGGTCACGAAAGCTGTCGCGACCGCGAGACATCTTCTTGATCTCGGGGTGTCTGTACGACTACCGGTGACTGGATCATGTCGAATTTTCTATGGGAATTCGCTTTGACCGTTCCCACCGACGTGAAACTTTCTCACTGATGTTTTCTAGGTGTGAGATTGTCGTAATATAGATAATTTCCCTTAAATATGGTCAAGCGTGGAAGTTTTTTTGGCCCTCGTGATTTGGTCGGCGAAGGGTAGGCGTGGAGGGTAACCCCTTTTAGTCATACCTGCTCTGAGCGGATATAACCGCTGAGGCAGATACGGCCACACTGCAATGGGACCTTACTGTACTCCTGGGAGGGTGGTTAAAAATGGTTGCGGATAGGGGTACCCGCGAAACACCGGTTTACTCGCCGGCCCTGGGTTAAACTGTTTTCAGTGCACTGACTGCATGCGTGCCACTGCCGACCCACCTCATACTCGGAGTTGGCCTTGGTCATACAGTGAGCAGCCGTGAGCACGAACCGCTCGCTGACGATGACCCCACCGCAGTAGTGCACCCAGGAGTCCAGCTTCCTGTCGAAGGTGCGGATCTGCGCCTGCCAGGGGAAC